TTGACCGGGGGTTTTAAACGGTCCAATAATATGATGTCATGTGACATTATGTCAAACCATTATATTATTGTAGCATGATTCATGAAGAAGTGCGACTGGGTAAACTTAAAGAGCTCTTGCTCTGTGATTTACAATCATGAATAAGTTACTGGTGCAACCATTTGGCTAATACCAATCGATTCGAGCTCAAACGTTCGTCTGTCGATGATGAAATCTTGATGATTTTCTCTATCTATTGGATGGAGAGTATGCTTTAAACTCATCTCGGCTGTACCCACCCTTGAGTATATGCTTCAACAGAAAGCCCTGCCTCACTCAATGCATTCATTGCTGATCTGTAAAGTCTGGCATCCAATTTAGTTCCTTCCATCTTCATATCCTGCAAAAGCTTAACCAATTCATCCACTCTATTCATTTTAGAGAAAACACCAACCATTATACCAGCCATTGCCCTATCAATCACCCCTCCATTAATCTTAAACTCATCAAACAATTTTGTGCACATATCAAACTCCCTTGCCCTGCTATAAGCACTTATCACACTCGTGTATGTGACACGGTCTGAAGCAACTTTTCTTCGTTTCATCTCCTTCCAAATCTTCTCGACTTGCTTCAAGTTTAACGCTCTACCGTGCATATCCAATAAAGAATTGTATATCCACACGTTCGGTTCACAGCCTCTCTCTTTCATTTTAGCTACAAGTCTCATTGCGTCCCTTGGCCTACCGGTCTTGCTATACATGGAAATCATGCTAGAATACGCCACCACGCATTTATCGTACCCCTTTTGTTCCATCTCAGCAAATACCATCTCTGCCTTGGAATACAATCCGAGCCGGAAGTAAATATTTTGAGCTGAAGCATAGGTCACTTGACCGGCATCACATCCGCGGGATAAAAGTTGTTCATAAACTTCAGCTGCAGCTTTAAGCCCTTTTCTTTTGCTAAAGGCATTGACGATTGTACAAAATATGCAATCAGAAACTCTGATATTTATCCGTTTCATAACAGAAACAACATCGAGAGTCCTTTCCAATTGCCCGACTTTGATGTACATCAACACGAGCTTCAAAAACAGAGCTGGATCTCTCAACATTTTCTTGCTCTCGGCTTCTTCTAAAAGCTCTTCAGCCATTTTAACTTCGCCAACACTTGCGAAAGAACTTATCAATGAGGAGTAAATTGAATGATCCTCTGGTATGCCTCTCTTCGGCATTTCTCTCAAGACCTCAAGTGCTTCAAAACAACGATCCAACTTCCCCAACGACGTGCACAAAATGTAATAAATCTTCGTGTGAATTCTCGAGGGAACGACTTCATATTTTCCATTCTTGAATTCTTGAAATATCGTAAGAGCTCTTTCGTAGTGTCCCATTTTAAGACAAGCTTCCATTATGTGACAGTAACAAGAAGGGTCCAAAATAATGCCTTCACATTTCATCCCTTCATACAAAACAATGGTGCTGCTATACATATGCAAACTGTTATAGCCTTTCATCGCTGAGTCGAAGGCTAAAACAGCGATTTTAGCATCAACTAAGAAGACTTGTAGCAAATTATTTACAAGCTTCAATTTTCTGGCTTTAATGCATGTACTAATTAATCTACAACACACGGAACTGCTTGGCAGTACCTTGAACTTCTTAACATCTTCACAGAATGAAAATAATGAAACCCAATTCTTTGAATTGATTAAGTACCTGACGAGAAGATTTAGCGTCGATTTCTGAGGAGTAAAATCTGGTTTTTCTTTGGCTTTCTCATAGTAATCGTGTGCGAGTTGTTCAGTTTGAGAATCTCCAAACAAACTGCATATTACAGCATTGAGTTCACCAGAATCCGGCACGTGAAAATCGCGTTGAAGTTTCAAGCCGACGTCAATAACACAAGCGGCATTGGTGGTCATACTCGTATCTTCCAGTACCGGCGATGAACACCCGGACGATAAAGATTTGGCAACAATACTTTTTGAGCACACGACCCAACATAAAGTTCTGGGTTTTAAAGGTATGACATGATGTGGGATTGCGAGATTTTTGGTTACTCGTAGAGTTGCGTCTACAGAAGATAATGGGCAGTCGAGTGAATTCGAAATAGCCATCTTTGAAATTTAGGTTCGAGGTAGGTTGTATTTTTCTTTGATCCAAACTTTGAGATGAGATTCAAAGTGATTGTCGATAGCATATCTGATGAAATCTGGATTGTGCAATGCATGCCGCTGCTCGTGTGATATGAACCACATAATGATATGACACGTAGATTGCTATGGACTTTGAGTTTTGCTGCCATTTCCAGCCACACAATTGTGTAACAAAAAACTATTGGTCACTCAAATCGTTCACAGAAATTTATTTTAGTCACTCAACTTCTATTTTTATTCCAGTTAAGTCATCCATTTGTCAGCAACATTAATGCATATGCATATCCTTCTTGAGTCTTGACAGAGGGTTTTTGCTAATGTCTCCATCTTATTGGCTTGCAAGATGCCAAGATGGGATTAATCTTTTGCCAAAAATGTTGAGAAAATAATCAAAGGCAACGATTAGGTGTTTCAAATCGACCTTACCAATGAATCGCTCGAAATTGTATTGAGATGAGCCACGACTCGTGAAACCCATGAGTTGGCTGTATGAAAGCTTATGGGCTAGGCTCACGAGCTGTCAAACGGTCATGTTATTTTATTTTTTATTTTTTTGAGGAACCTTTTTTCACTATAAATACCTTCTCTCCACTTCATTTTTTCCCCACACAACTCTCTTTATCAATAACATAGATAGTTGAATTTATTTTCAAGTATTTTTGCCCAATTCTAGTTTAAGGGGCCGTTTGAGCCCCATTATTTGTAGATTATAATGAGATGAACAGTGTTTTTTGAAAAATGAGTGGTTAAAAAATTTTTGATTTACGTGTAATATTATTTTATTGAATATTGTGTGGTTAAAAGTAGGAGAGAGAAAAATTTAATTTAATATAATGAAAAATAATGGGGCTCAAACGGGGGCTAAATATGTTATTCTACATCTTTCTTCAATTCATTCAACCAATCGAGAGTTCAATTAATTCTACATTTACATATGAATTTAGATCAGACTTTTTAAGATACCTTTTTAGAGTTCAACTAATGTTCAATAACCTTTTTATTTTATTTTTATATAGAGACATCATAGGGGTGTAATAGCTAAGAGGACAACAATGAGCATATGATACCTTTTTATATGTCAATGACATATATGTAGATACTGTCAATAGTTTTACAATATTAGTTATTCTCAAATCATTGGGTTTTTTCACGTCCTTAGTTAATAGCACAAGATTGAGTATATTTTTTCCCTCTGAAAGCATTAGATAGATTCATAATTCAAACATCTCCCTTTTAAAGAGTTTCTTCTTTTTTTCTGAAAAATGATATTTCAAATAGTATTTTTGGAGAATTGGTTAAAAAGTAGGAATAAAATGTTGAATTTACATACAAAATATTTTATTGTGTGCATATGTAATTGAAAATGAATTTGATATATATATATATATATGTAAAATAAACAGGGTAATAATTTGATCTATATTAGATTATTCTATATGCTATACAAGTTTTTGTTCAAGTTATTAAAGGGTATAGCCATTCAAATGGATAATTGAAAATTTGGATACCATGTCTACTACATAATACACGTTAATATTACGTAGGTACAATTATTTCCCGAAATTCAAAATGATGTTGCACCGTGAGTTTTTAGCATACGTTGTAGTCTTGTAGATCAATCATACTCAAATAAGATGTAACAGAAGCCCAACACAACTAAAAACTTGACAATATGTATGATTAGAGGGATCAGATAATGAAGTAGGGGAAAGAAAAGAGGAAAATGCAATGAAATAGATACAAAGGGGTAAGACAAAGAGAGGTGATAATAAAAGAGTGAGGACAGAGTAAAGTGAATGAGACGACGAATTACAGAAGGAGATTATAAATTGAGGAAGGAGAAAAAAAAATGTAATCTTTATTATTAGGGTGCGTTTGATCGGAGAGATTTTTCATGGAATTCCATTTTCCAATTTTAAGGGTGTTCGGTGGCTTCTTCTTCTTCTCTTTTTTTTTTAAGGGTGTTCGATGGCTCCTCAACTTTACAAAAGTGCAACTGTTATCTCACAAGTGTCCATTAGAAGAAGTGGAGGTTTTGTAGATGTGCCCATCCAAATGGGCTTTAGGCCATGTTTGAACTCATTTAAAATTTATTTTCAATTACATATTTTTTCAATAAAATAAATTTTTACATGAACTAATAAATTTTTTATTTTATTTTTTGAACACATATTTAAAAAATAATAATTTTTCACAAATTTTATTATAAAAAAATCTCTACTAAACGGGGTTCATTGAATTTTCAACGAATAGGTTAGTAATTTCAATTAGTTGACTAAACTTCAAGTTAGTTTCAAATTTCCGTGATCTATTCTCCTCTAAATTAAAAAAAAAAAAAATGTTTAGTTGGCAGCCATATTGTAATTGTTTTAATGCCTAATAATTGCAATTTGGATTGTGGGGGCAGGGGGAAGAAGAAGATGATGCCCACATTTTCTTTCTTTCATTTTTTTATTTATTTATGGTTTATCTATTTAACTTATTTAATTAATGGGATAATATACAAATTACTATTTTGCCCTTACTAATATGGTCAAATTTGGAATCAAAGTCAGTTCTTTGGTCAACTAACGGTGAAATGGATGGATTCCATCCATCTGGACTTCGGCTGCATATTTATGAAAGGTTTGGGACCTTCGCTGGCACAAAATGAAGGTTTGGGCAAAGTCTGCTAATAAAAGAAAGGTTTAGTACAGCTGCTACAATTTTCCCAAGTTTAAAATTAAATTTAAAATTAGTTATCCAAGTGAGATAAATTAAAGTTTAATGGTTCGATTGAAATTTTGGTGAAATTTTAGTGATGACTAATATAAAATTTACCTAGTTTTCTTTACACTTGTTTCCCCAACGACGTTCGCGTGATGAAAGCGACAGGAGGACATTTCATTTTCACTTCATCTTGTTTTCAATACAGAGATTTTACAGTTTTTGCTTGTCCTTTCTGGTCTTGTGTTGCTTGAAGAAATCAACTTGGATCCGTGAAATCTGCATTCCCAGAGCTATCGTTTTCCCTTCCAACATTTCAATGCATTTGGTACGTATTTCTTTTGCTAATTTACTTTCTCTTCAGTAGTCGAAAAGAACCCAAAACAAGATAGATGATGAACCGGGCGTTGAATTTTCCATGTTTCTAAGATACAAGATTCAGGTATTTCCAATGTTTTCACTTTTCAAACCCAGCCTGATCATCGAATCCTAAAAGTTCAAACCGAGTCGAACATGGGTTTTCTATATCGCATGCTATCG